GTGGTCAGAAAAGATGCTGGATATGATTTCACTTTTCTTAAATTTATTGAGACTTGTTTTGTGTCCTAACATGTGGTCTATCCTAGAAATGTTTCACATGCATTTGAAAAGTATGTATATTCTGCTGCTGTGGGGTGAAATGCTCTGAAGATTAAATGAAGATTAAATTCATTTGATCTAGTGTGTCATTTAAGGCCACGTCTGGAGATCTATACATTGAAGTCAATGGGGTGCTGAAATCCCCTTCTATGGCTGTATTTCTGTCCATCTCTCCCTTAATGTCCATCAAGATTTTCTTTACATATTTCGGGGCTCCTATGTTGGGTACATAAATATTTACTAGGGTTATATCTTCTTGTTGGTTTGTTATCATTATGTAGCATCCTTTGTCTCTTACTATAGCCTTGGTTTTAATGTCTATTGTGTTGGATATAAGTAATGCTACCCCAGCTTTTTTTTTCCTTTCCATCTGCATGAAATATCTTTTTTTTCATTCCTTTACTTTTAGTCTGTATGTATCTTTTGATCTGAGATAGGTCTCTTGGAGGCAGCATATATATGGGTCTTGTTTTCTTATCCATTCAGCTACCCTGTGTCTTTTGGTTAGAACATGTAAGACATTTACATTTAAGCTGGTCATTGATAGATACGTATTTAGTGCCAATTTATTATAAGACTATTTTCTTCTGTTTTTTTTTCTTTCTCTTTTTTTTCTTCTTCTTAAAGAAAGCTCTTTAACATTTGTTGCAGTACTGGTTTGGTGTTAATGAATTCCTTTAGCTTTTTCTTGTCTGGGAAGCTCCTTGTTTCTCAGTCAATTTAAATGATAACATCGTTGGGTAAAGTAGTGTTGGTTGTAGATCTTTGCTTTTCATCACCTTGAATATTTCACGCCACTCCATTCTGTCCTGAAATGTTTCTGTTGAGTAAGCAGATGACAGTTTTATTGGTGCTCCCTCATAGGTAACTACCTGCTTTTCTCTTGTTGGTTTGAGGATTCTCTCTTTGTCTTTAAGCATTGATTTAAAATTAAATTAAGCCTTCAGCTTTAATTACGATGTGTCTCAGTGTAGGCCTCTTTGGGTCCAATTTGTTTGGAACTCTGTGAGCTTCCTGGACTTATGTGTCTTCTTCTTTCACCAGATTAGGGAAGTTTTTGACCATTATTTCTTCAAGTACATTCTCAATCCCTTACTTGCTCTCTTCTCCTTCTGATATTCCCATGTTGCAGATGTTGTTATGCTTCATGTTGTCCAAAATGTTTCTGAGCACTCCTCATTTTTAAAAATTATTTTTTCCTTTTTGCTACTCTACCTAGGTGTTTTTTTCTACCTTGTCTTCCAAATCACTGATTTGATCTTCTGCTTCACCTAGCCTACTGTTTATTCCTTCCAGTGTATTCCACCAAGAAACTACTAGAACTAATAAATGAATTCAGCAAAGTGCCAGGATACAAAATTAATATCAAGAAATCAGTTGCATTTTTATATGCCAATAACAAACTAACAGAAACAGAAATTAAGAAAATAATCCATTCACAATTGCTACAAAAAGAAAAAAAATACCTAAGAATAAACCTAGTCAAGAATGTAAAAGACCTATACCTGGAAAATTATACAACACTAAAGAAAGAAATTGAAGAAGATACAAATAAGTGGAAGCACATACCATGTTCATGGATAGGAAGAATTAACATAATTAAAATGTCCATTCTACCCAAAGCAATCTATAGATTCAGTGAAATTCCTACCAAAATTCCAATGACGTATTTCACAAACCTAGAACAAATATTTCAAGCATTTGTATGGAACCACAAAAGGCCCCACATAGCAACAGCAGTCCTGAGAAAGAAGAAAAAAATTGGAGGAATCATTCTATCTAATATGAAACTATACTATTCATAGTAATCAAAACAGCAGAATAGAGAGCTCAGAAATAAGCCCACACCTTTATAGTCAAATAATATTTGACAGAGGAAGCAAGCACATAAAATGGGTTAAAGACAGTCTATTCAATAAGTGGTGTTGGGAAAATCGGACATATATGTGTGTGGAAAAATGAAACTAGACCATCTTCTTATATCACACACAAGAATAAATTCAAAATGGATCAAATATTTAAATGTTATACCTGAAACTATAAAAGTCATAGAAGGAAAACATAGGAAGCAAAATCTTGGACATTGCTTGTAGCAATATTTTATTCAGGCAAGGGATACAAAAGAAAAGATCAACAAATTGGACTACATCAAACTAAAAATGGGTTTGCACAGCAAAGGAAATCATCAACAAAATAAAAACACAACCCACAGAATGGGAGGAATTATTCACCGATACTTCTGACAAGGGGTTAATATCCAAAATTTATTAAGAACTTATGAAACTCAGCACCAAAAAAACCCCAAACAAACCAATTAAAAAATGGGCAAAGGACCTGAATAGACACTTCTCCAAGGAGCACATACAGATGGCCAACAGACACATAAAAAGATGCTCTCATTAAAGATTTCTCATTAGAGAAATGCAAATTAAAACCACAATGAGATATCATCTCACTCCTGTCAGAATAGCTATCATCAATAAATCAACAAACAACAAGCACCCTTGAGGATGTGGAGATAGGGGAACCCTTTTGCACTGTTGGTGGGAATGCAGATTGGTGCAGCCGCTGTGGAAAGAAGTATGGAGATATCTCAAAAAACTAAAAATGGATCTGCCTTTTTACCCAGTAATTCCACTTCTGGGAATATATCCAAAGATACCCAAAACACTAATTCAAAAGAACATGAGCACCACTATATTCATTGCAGCAGTACTTACAATCACCAAGATACGGAAGCAGCCCAAGTGTCCATAGTAAATGAGTAGATAAAACAACTCTGGGACATTTACACAATGGAATACTACTTGGCCAAAAGAAAGATGAAATTTTTACCTTTTGTGATGGTATGAATCGACCTGGAGAACATTATGCTAAATGAAATAAGCCAGTCAGAGAAAGACAAATACCATATCATTTCACTCATCTGTGGAATCGAAAGAACAAACTGAACTAACAAGGAAAATGGAAACAGACTCATAGATGGAGAGCAGGCTGACAGCTGGGGTGGGGGGAGCAAAAAGGGATTGAGCAAAAAGGAAAAAAGGACTCATGTATATGGACAACAAAGTGGTGATTGCTGGGGGGAGGGGAGTATAGGGGACTAAATGGTAATGGAAAAAATACAATAAAGATTAAATAAACTAAAAAAGTTAGCAATGATAGGTAGTCAAAAGAACACAGAAAGAAACAATGAAAATGACACAATCTCCTAACCACAGAATAACATTTATTAAAATGTTGATAAAAAAGGAATGATCTGTGTATTTTAAAACTATTTTATAGTATAAAATATACTGTGATCATATTTCTCTGTTATTAAATATAGTTTACCAATAAATTCTAATATATGTGTTGTACCCTGTCACTAGGATACCATTGTTTTGTTAGGTAATGCCTTACTAGATTTTTTTTCTGAATCCTTGGTATGAGGTAGATTTTCTCTCTGTATCCATTCATCTTTATGAATGATGGACCAGTTGCAATTCTCAACCACTTTACTAAGCTGTATTTGTTCTCTCTCTCACCCCAAACACACAATTTCTCACACATAGTTGGGACTGGCCCAGGATTTACCCGATACCCCTCCTGTATACTTCACTTTGTGCCTTTATAATTGCCTGACTCCTTCTCAGGGTTTCTGCCATATGATATCCAAACATGCACCAGTTGCTTCAATTTACTTAAAAGTCCAGTTAAACTGTGTGTTCTTGTTTAGAAAAAAATCCCCAGGGGATGTTGAGGACTAAGTAAATGTTTGGGATCATTGTAGTCCAACTTGCCTTGGATTTATAAATGCCACGTTCAAGTTCAGAGCAAAAGCTTAAATCTATATGCACTCGGGAAAGATTTATTGAGCGTTACCATGGTCTAAGCTCAGAGTCTAGGAGTAAATTAAAGGTTCAACCACCACCAACAAAACCTATTTGTCTGCTATAGGTTCCCAGTTTGGTTTCCTGAACCCATGGGGAGTGTATCTCTGTTTGGTAAGCTGGTAGCCATTAGGGGTTAAAATAGAAAAAGTGGTGATGTGACATGGAATAGAGTGGCATCTTTCCTTGTCATCTGGGCTTATATGGTAGTTTTAGCTAGTTTCTAGGGGACACAAAGCTTTGACAATTTACAGACTAAAAAGTAGCCTGCAGGTCCTGGCTAGGTAGCTTTGTTGGTTAGAGTATTGTCTCGATATGCCAAGGTTGCAGGCTTGATCTCTGGTCAGAGTATATACAGGGAAGCAACCAATGAATGCATAAATAAGTGGAACAACAAATCAACATTTCTCTCACTTTCTCTCTCTCAAAACCAATACAAGTAAAAAATAAATGGAAATATATATATATATTTGTCTGCAGAATGTATATGTGTGTTTCCCATAATCTTCAACTTTCTTCCTGGAAACCGATCTTACCAAACAGCTAAACCTCCCCAAACCTAGCTGCCAGAGAGTCACCTTTTATTTGTTTCCTTTATTTCAGTAAACTTTAAAAAAACTGAGATTCTTTCTATCATTCTTGACTAGGAGGTTTTTCTCAAAACAGTGCTGAGAAAAAGTAAGAAAATTAACAATCTTAGCACACCTCACAGAGCAGAGTAAACCCAGTCCCACATATTAGCTCTAAGGTATTGAGTAATACAGAATTAGCTATAACCTAGCAACTAACTTTAAAATGTGAAACAATGCAATCACAGTTTAAAATATCTTGAGGAACAATTAGTCATTAAGTCCAAGTATGTGGTTTTGGACATAGCTATTTTCTGAGTTTAGACCATATTTGTTACAGCTATTTGCAACAAGTGATAAGATACAACTTGTCCATTATATTTGGAAAGTAAATTTCTATGATAAAGCTCCCAATGTTCATAAATGTTTCTAATTTGTTTTTTGATCTATTTCTCCCCAGGGTTCAGAAGTAGTAACAGGTAATCCGAAAAATGGGAATTACTTCCGAATACATGTTAACAAATATAAAATGGTGGAAACCATCACGTGCCTTTCTAAGGAGGCTTTTCCTACCTCCAACTACATTTGCTTGTTTGGCCAGCACGAGCAAGTCCTCAACAACCTGTGTGCTCGGTATGAGGACAACATGATCACAGATCTCTACAGGTAAATTGGACCAAGTATTTTACTAAGGAAGAATACATAGTGTCTTATGAATAAAGGGTGTGTTTTCTGATGCACCAGATAACAAAACAGGAATCCATGGGAAAAACTAGAGTGGCAGAGATTTTGTTCTACTATAATAAAGAATATCTGACCATTAGCATCAACCAGAAGGTGGAGAGTCATGTGGGGAAATGCATGGACTCCAGATGTGCCTACACATGGCTCCCATGGTCACGCACAGGCCTTACTCCCAGGTACAGCAGCACCAGCATTCACACCACAGGTGAGCCTGCATGAGATGGTTTTCAAGTTCCTTGACACGGGGCTGTTGAGAACAGTGGTCAGAAAAAAATATATCAATTTATTTTGCCTTCTTTGAGTCAGAAATTTAGGAGGTAGTTAGGGAACAGGACATAGAAGCACTTCGTTCTGGTGGGAACTCCACAATCAGACAGGCTGTTCATGGCCCCAGCCTTCTTCCACATGGCTTGTGCTCAAGCAGGGAAGGGCAGCCATTCGTCCAAAATGTTAAGGGGATTCTGCACTGGCAAGTTGGTTTGACTGGGTGATGTAGTTCTTGGTCTTTCAACTCTAAAACACTGTTTTATCCTATAATTCTAGGAAGGCTAGAATTTTAGAGTAGAAAACTACTTCTAGATATAATCTGCTGCTTAGAAAGGTTAGGAGAATTTTCAGAGCTGGTACCAGATATAGATGCAGGATATAAGTTCTAAAATTCTAGGGTATTTAATATCCATTGGGGTGATTTCCAGGATCAGAATCAATCTTTCTTCCTTCTTATTTTTTTTATATTACAGAATATACTATATAAACAAAAAAGTATATAAAACATGTATGTATATTTTAAGGGATAATATTACTAAAAATCTATCTGCCTAGCAACTACCTTAAGAAAGAATTCCTTACTTTAGGACATTAGAAGCCCCTCTCTAATTACAGTCCCCCACCCTGTCTCCTTGGAGATAACCATTATCCTGTAGTGTGAGTTAATCATTCTCTTTCTTTCCTGTAAAGCAGGGATCAGCAAACTTTATCTATAATGGACCAGATAGTAAATATTTTCTGTTTTGCAGGCCATATGACTTCTGTCACAAGTACTCAAAGCTGTCATAGTATGAAAGCAGCCATAGGCAATATTCAACTTTACTTACCAAAACAGGAACCAGGCCACCCCTTGATTTGGAAATGTGCCACATATATATTCCTAAAAATATATATCAATTTATTTTGCCTTCTTTGAGTTGATTCTGTGGCTTACTTGAGAAAGTCAACAGTGTTTATCACTATGTTTGTAAGGCCCATCATGGTAATGTTTGCAGCTGTAATTTATTTTCCCTGCTGTATAGTATCCCCTTATGTAACTGTGTCACAGTTCAACCATCTATTTTCCTGTTGATTGATAGCTGAATTGTCCCCAGTTTCATGCCATGCCATTACAAACACTGTTATTGGCACTGTGGACATACCTCATCTGCAAGAATTTCTTTCAGGTGTTCCAGGTGATGCTGAAATGTTCTCCAAAGTAGCTGTAACTATAAACTCAGCAGGGCACAAGAGCACCTCCACAGCCCTGGCAAGCCTTGGTATGGGTAGACTTTAAAATTTGGCTGTTCTGGTGGGTTGAAAAGGTGTCTTCCTATAGTTTTCCCTTTTCTGATTAATGATGCAGTTTAATGCCTTTTCATTTGTTCATGGATCATTTGTGGTAGTTCCTATGAAATGCCTGTTTATGACCTTTGTCCATGTTTCATCTGGGTTGTTGTCTTCTTGCTAATTCACAGGAGTTATTCATATATTCTGGATGCAAACTTGTGTTGGCTATGTATGTATCCTTAATATATCCTCTCCTGTTTTGAGTCTTTTCACTTACCTTATGGTGTCAATTAAAATGTATTCTTAACTTTAATGTAAACTGTTTGTCTTCTTTGGGGTGTTCTAGATACTTTTGTCCCTTTGCTTTTCTAATAGGTTTAAGTAAATTTGTTAAGCTTTGTGAAAGGAAATTTATTTGATAGAAAATGCATTAAATCTTAGATTAATTGGGTGAGAATTGACATCTTTGTTATTAAGTCCAACATCATAGTGTAGTATAGATCTGGATTTATTTAGGTTTCCTTAACATCTTTCAATAAAGTTTTATCATTTTCTCCATAGATGGCTTGCATAATTTTTGTTTAATATAATCCAAAGTGTTTTATATTCATATTGTTGTAAATATAATTTCTTGTTGTTGTTGTATAGAAATGCACTAACTTTTTGTATGCTTTTATATTCTGCAAGTTTTCTAAACTTTCACTCATAAATAATTTACCTGTGGATTCTTTTAATTTTCTGCACAGAAAAATTATATCATCTGCAAATAATAACAGTTTTTTTTTCTTATTTTCTAATCCTTGTACCTTTCATCTATTTTTTTGTCTTACTACATTGGCTAGTTTTTACAAGTAAAACAGAAGTAGTGAAGTATGGCACCCTTGCCCCATTCTTAATTTTAAAGGGAATTTGTTCTTCATTAAAGGTATGATATTTGCCATACATATTTTATAGACATCCTTTATCAGATTTAAGGGCTTTTTTAATTACTGGCCTGCTAAACATTTTTATCATGCATGGATTTTAATTTTTTTTCCAAGAAAGAGGATTTAATTTCTGAAACTTTTTATGTATGAGGATATTTTCCTAATGCTTTCTGTAATGAACTATATTTTGATACAGTATCAAATTCCCTAATTATATGCTTTCTCTCCTCAGATCTTTGGAGATTTAACTGCACTATTTATCTAAAATAAAGAAAAAATATTTAGAAAATAAGTTCATTTATTCCTAAGCTAGTGCACAGGATTTTATTTACAGTTACTTATCCAAGATGTTTAAGTTAGAGGAGAATCAGTTGTTTGTTAAAGAATAATTTTACTTGGTGGGGAGGAAAATGCTAAGCATTTTCTCTAACAAGAGAATGTTTTCAGCCGGCCAAGATGGAGGTATAGGTAGAAACCCTTTGCTTCCTGGCACAACCAAGAGGAGGATAATGACCAATCTAAAATCAGTAAACAACCAGAAGTGCCAGAAAATCAAACTGCATGGAACTCCGACAACAACAGAATTAAAGAAACAAACAGAACAACCAGATCATGAAGGTGGGGCTGGCTACAGCGAGGCAGCTGACTACTCAGGAGGGGCTGACTTAAGGGGAAACTGAGATTCAGAGCTGGCTGTGGACTATGGTGCTTGCCTCAGTGGGAGAAACTCCCAGTCTCACATGAGAGATTTTGTTGAAAAGTGGGCTAAAGCCGAGCAGGCAAGCTGCACTGTACCCTCTCTGGCCCCTCCCCCACAAGCAGTGTGGAGCACAGCAAAGAGGGTTGCCCTGCCCAGGTGAATACCTAAGGCTCCATCCCCCTACAACCTAACAGGGGCCTAGAATAAAGAAATAGGGCCAAAATGAAAGAACAGAGCAAAACTTCCAAAAGAGCGCTAAGCGATGAGGAGACTGCCAACCTATCTGATGAATTTAAAGTCATGGTAATCAAAATGCTCACAGAACTGATTGCGCTTGGTCAAAATATGAAAGATACCCAAAAATAAAATAAAGCAAAATATTCAGGGAACCAATAGTGACAGGAAGGAAACCGGACTCAAATCAATGATTTGGATCAAAAGGAAGAAATAAACATTCAGCCAGAACAGAATGAAGAAACAAAAATTCAAAAAAATGAAGAGAGACTTTTGGACATCTGGGAAAACTTGAAATGTTCCAATATCCAAATTAGAGGACTGCCAGAGGAGAAGAACAACAGCAAGAAATTGAAAACTTATTTGAACAAATAATGAAGGAAAACTTCCCCAATCTGGCAAAGAAAATAGACTTCCAGGAAGTCCAGGAAACCCACAGAGTCCCAAAGAGGAACATACCAAAGCACATCATCATTAAGTTACCCAAGATTAAAGACAAAGAGAGAATCTTAAAAGAAGCAAGAGGAAAGGAAAGAATTACGTACAAAGGAGTGCCCATACGGCTATCAGCTGAGTTCTTAAAAGAAACCTTATAGGCAAGATGGGGCTGGAAAGATGTATTTGAAGTCATGAAAGGCAAGGACCTACATCTAAGAATACTCTATCTAGCAAAGCTATCACTTAGAATGGAAGGGCGGATAAAGTGCTTTGCAGATAAGGGCAAGTTAAAGGAGTTCATCATCACCAAGCCACTATTACATGAAATGTTAAGAGGACTTAACTAAGAAATTGGAGATCAAAAATATGAACAGTAAAATGACAACAAACTCACAGCTATCAACAAATGAAGCTAAAAAAATAAAAGAAAGAAAAACAACAAAAACAAAAATTAAGCAAACAACTAGAACAGGAACAGAATCAGAGAAATAGACATCACATGGAGGGTTTTCAGTGAGAAGGGGGAAGGGAGGAATAGGCAGGGAAAGGTACAGGGAAGAAGAAGGATAATTGGTAGGCATTAAATAGACAGGGAGGGGGTAAAATGGTATAGGAAACAGAGCTCAAAGAACTTATATGTACAACCAATGGACATGAACTAAGGCGGGTTGGGAATGCTGGAGGGTTGGGAGGTGCAAGGTGGAGGGGGGGAAATTGGGAAAACTGTAATAGCATAATCAATAAAATATATTTTTAAAAAGATATAATGTTTTCATGTTAGATCAAATTCAAAAGTTCTAGCTAGTTTGTTTTCCCCTGAGAAGAATATGATGTTGAAACAGAGACTTTGTGAGCTTGGGACACTAGTCAGGGTGCTGATAGTAATGATTTTAAGTTAATTTGATTTGTTAAGAGTGAATATTTAACATGGCAAAGGTGTGACATCGGATAATAGGATGTGCCCATTGACACTTTTAAGAAAGAACCAAAAGGATGGGGAGAGGAAAATGATGGCTGATCATCAAAGTGGTCGAGGATCATTTTTAAGTGAGGTGCTAAGGGCTCCACCATGACTGTCAGTCGTTTCT